TACAATTTGCACAAGCTCATCGAAATTGGACAATAGAAGATTGGAAAAACGTTGCCTGGTCTGATGAGTCTCGATTTCTGCTGCAACATTCGGATGGTAAGGTCAGAATTTGGCGTCTACAACATGAAAGCATGGATCCATCCTGCCTTGTATCAACGGTTCAGGCTGGTGGTGGTGGTGTCATGGTGTGGGGAATATTTTCTTGGCACTCTTTGGGCCCCTTGGTACCAATTGAGCATCGTTGCAACGCCACAGCCTGCCTGAGTATTGTTGCTGACCATGTCCATCCCTTTATGACCACAATGTACCCAACTTCTGATGGCTACTTTCAGCAGGATAATGCGCCATGTCATAAAGCTGGAATCATCTCAGACTGGTTTCTTGAACATGACAATGAGTTCACTGTACTCAAATGGCCTCCACAGTCACCAGATCTCAATCCAATAGAGCATCTTTGGGATGTGGTGGAACGGGAGATTCAAATCATGGATGTGCAGCCGACAAATCTGCGGCAACTGTGTGATGCCATCATGTCAATATGGACCAAACTCCCTGAGGAATGCTTCCAGCACCTTGTTGAATCTATGCCACGAAGAATTGAGGCAGTTCTGAAGGCAAAAGGGGGTCCAACCCGCTACTAGCATGGGGTACCTAATAAAGTGGCCGGTGAGTGTATATATATATATATATATATATATATATATATATATATATATATATATATATGTATATATACATAGAAAACACAGCAAAATCCTCATGTCATCTTTATGTTTTCCAGCCACTTTTTCTGAAATTTGCATTTTATTCTCTTTCCTATTCTATAGATTTCTCTCCGCCTTCTTTTCTTCTTTTCTGAACGTACGACTTTACGATCAACCAGAAGCAGTTCCACGCAAATATGTTGTTTTATAATTACCTGACGAAATTGTTTTTATAAAATTTTTTTTTTTTAATAAAGCTTTTTCAATGCCATAATAATCACATTTAATGAATTTCAATTCCAATTAAGGTCTTAATTAGAACAATTATAATTTAATGATTTTTAATGACCTGCGGAAACCTTGTAACCTTCAGGGGAGGCCGAGAAAAATATTTCCCCCAAAAAAACGAAAAGATTTGGATTTTCCTGAAAGTGTTTTAAAAGCTGAAGTCACAGAATGTCTAATATGGTCTTAAACGGGTGCTAAAAAGACAATATTATTACTATTATTATCATGTTGTAGAATCTGGGAAATCATCCAGAAAAATCACCTGGAATCTTCAAGAAGGCATTTTTAAATCTGCAGAACTAACATTGATCTTCCATTAAAACATCTATATTCCAACCAGGTTGGAATATAGAGGACACCCTAAGGAATATTATACCCTATAAATAAATGTAAATATAAATTCATAGAACGTAACTTGTAGGTGAAAGGATGTACAAACAAAGCAGGAAGCAAACAAACTAAAGTTTTTGGTATTATTTAGAAAGATACCCTGTCAGCTTTACACATCAAATAATATCGGGCTGAAATTTTAGGAAGCAACTCAAAAAGGTCCAGAAAAATAACCTTTAAACTGGGAAAGTTTTCTAAGAAAACAGCATAATGCTTTGGGAAGGAACTTTTTAGATTCAGAAGAGTAACCTTTATATCCAAGGAACATATCTGTTAAATTACAAATCCACGGATAATCTGTGGAGAGTATCCTGTAAGCTCCATAAAACCTGATCAGTTCTATAATATTAAATGAGCATTGTAGCACTTTTGTTTATAGATACATACAGACATAATGAAAGTAGACATTAGGTCCAACCTGGTTACAGTTGATCTATTGTTATTTCAGAGTTATAGGTGATGCTATTAGCTAATCCCACCATTATTCTATGGTGGAAAGATTCATAATGTTACGAATATAGATCCAAAGTACTTTACTGGCTTTGGGGGAGATTCAGAGAAAGTAACCTGCAAATTCAACTACTTGAAAGTGACCTGAATGGTTCAGAAAGCACCGGATCAGACGTGTCTTTATAAAACAGGTCTCTGAATGTTCCCTCAGCTGAAGGAACCTTTATTTAATCAAACCTGCTGCTGAAATCCATCCTATTCCAATAAATTCAACCAAATCCCGGATGTAATCAAACCGTATTATTGACATTCTGAGTGGGATGGATGGAGGTTTGTTTTCCCAGCACTGAGCATGTTTTAACTTCTAACTAATCTGCTGTCATATCACAAAGCTCGTTAGTTCCCTCCTGCCTGCCTGAGCTTGATTTGTTGCTTCTATGATTGTATGAAAACAGAAACGCACACAAAGCATCTTCGGATGCATCTTTGTGTGAGGAATCTAAACAAAGCTGAATGATCTGAAATCTGAGATCCACTTTTATCACGATAAACATTAAACAAAGAGAAAAGAAAAAAAAACGCAGCAAAGTGAGCTTCCAGCTCCACATTAATGCTGGGATGTACGGCTAACCGAATGCCCTGTTTGGGTCATTGAGCTGCTGAAGGAGGACGTTTTGTTTGCAGAAGTAAAGAAAGAGTTTGAATGAATTCAAATAAAAGTTCTATTTGGAAAAGAAACAGGCAGACAGGACCAAAGATCCTTTATAGAACTAAACAGAGGAGATTCCTTTGTTGCATTTTATTATGTGCCAACATCAGCTGATAGCTGCACTGTTATGTCTCTCTTTTCCTCTGCTGTTTAGTGTAAACTCACACAGGATGCATGCAGGCACAACTCAACACAAAAACAAAGCTCTTCTTTTTTGTATCAATAATTTTAACAAAGAAATCCTTTTTATTTTAATAATGACAGGGTCATACACATATGTGGAGTGGAGCTACTGAGCTGAGGACCAGATCATGTAAAGGAAAGAAAAAATTTGGCTAAACGGCTAAAGTTTGAGCTTGGAAATGTTCACTTTTCAGCAGCTGTTCGTTGCAAACTAAAAAAGTTTATTATCCCTAAAGGGAGCCGTGACGTCATCTAAAGTGAGACCAGAATCCACCAGTAACTGAAGGTTGTAAAATGTTTATATGCACATAAATCCTTATCAAACCAGCTATTAATAATGACAGCAGGCAGCAGCACAGGTTCAGTTTAAAGCAGAACATGTGAGCTGTTCCATCTTATTACGTTACTATATTTTCAATGCTACTTTAACTTGGAATAAAACAAAAAAAGAGCTCAGCGTTTAACACATTTTAAAAGTTTACGCATTAAACATTTTCCAACTTCATGTTTAATGCAAGACAGATATTTTTATCCTCTTTATACGGCTCTGCTGCTCTCTCCCACTTAAAAAAAAAGTATCTCATCTGCTTTGGCTGATTTTTATTGCTTTCCCTGCAGGGCAACCAGATACTCCGCCAGAGAGCCCGCTTCCTCCCTTCATCTGTTCCTCGCTCACCTCCTGTGAGAGGTCACGCCCTGCCTTCCCTCCTTTTCTCCCCTGCAGCTCTGACCAACTGCAGCAGCAGCAGGAGAAACAAACCCGCCCTGGCATGCCTCAGCCTTTACTCCCAGCCCTCCAAGAAGCCGGCAGACCCAGACTGGGAGCAAGTTCATGTAAAAACATCCAAAATGCATAAACTATTTCAGCTTACATTAATGTTTTATTAATCCATTAGTTCTGAAACAGTAGACCAATATGAATGTATTGAATATAAGGATTAGAGAATCTAACTGCTGCTTGCAGAACAACGATGCAGCTTATTAACATCAGATGCAAACATCAGCATCTGGAATTTATAAAACTCACCAAGGATGAATTATTGGCAACTATACAATGCAAACATTTAAAGTATTTAGTGCCTTTACAGTTACTTTGCAATGAAATCACGGTGAGCAGATATGAGATTCTGATAGTATAATTATTCTAAGGTAAAATACTAGAATCAGTATTTCAGTACTACTTCAGTAGAATGTTTAGATCAGTCTGTTTGTGCTTTTTGGTGTCTATTTTCTTTCTTAAATCAACAGGAAAATGTAGCTTACCATAACACACCAGAGGTGGGTAGTAGTGAGTTACATTTCCTTGATTACATTTTTACACAAAATTTACTTACAGAAGTAGTTTTATTGCACTGTGCTTATTAATTTTACTTGAGTAATATTATTGGAAAGTATTGCTTACTTTAACCTGAGTAAATCTGGCACAATTGCTTACAATTTATGTTAATAGATTTCTTGTTTGTAAACAGGTTTTGCTGTTTTATAGGTGTAATTATCTGCTCTGCTCATAGAAGCCATTTTTAGGTCCACTGAACATACAGTAAACAGTGGATGTTGTCATTCTATTCATTGTGTCACTCTTTAAACATAGATTAAATTGTGTCTAAAACAATATTCCTGCAGGTGCAGGAAGTTTGGTTTAGAGATACTTGACTGATCCTGACCTTAACCTATTAAATACACCTTTAGGATGAACTAGCGTGGAGCATTGAATTCTGGGTTTTATATCTGATTATGAACCCCTCCCCGCAAACCTAGATGTTTATAGAATAGTTGGTCTGCAATGCGGATCCATCTAAAAATATGACACTCGAGATGAAAAACAAAAGGTAATGAAATTTCATATATATGCTAAAATAGAGGGCATTAACTGCTTTAAGTATATTGGTTTAAAATAATCTATTTAGTAAAGAGTTTCTTCTGCTAGAAGTTATTCGCTAGTTATGTTAGACATTGGATATTTTTGCTTTCTACCAAGCATTCTTTTATAATTTTAGCTTTCCGATTTTATTATTTTTAAATATTAATCACAGGATTGTGATTAGTAAGCTGTTCAAGATCATCTATCAGATACTTTTTTTACTCTAACTTAGGTTGTTTCTGCTTGCTTACTTCTTACTTTTACTTTAGTAGAAATATGTTGAAGTAGCCCTGCCTTCACTTACAAAGTAAGTAAGACAAATTTTCAATGATTGATTGATTGATAGGTAGATAGATAGATAGATTGATTGATTCAATCAGTTTTCAGGATCTGCAGACTCTTGTTTTGAACTTACCTTCCAGTTCACAGCCCAGCAGCTCCAAACGCAGACCCATGCCCTCTGCAGTCGCTCTCTCTGGGTAGATCCGGACGAATCGTGTCAGAAGTGGACTGAGTGATCTCAGCTCTGGGGTTTCATGGTTCTGATTTCCAATAAATATCTGGAAAAAAACCCCAAAGTAAATACAGAAGTTAGCTTTTAAATTTATCCCTACATGAAGTGAAGCAGTTTCCAGATCTCGTCAGAATAGAGCTGTCTTTAGTCAGGTGTTTTAGAAATAATTCATGAATTCTCGCTGATGCTGAGGTCAACACAAGGAACAGCATAAAAAAATGTTACTGATGAGGCCTTTCTTTCAAACTGACAGAAACCTAATAGAAAAAAGAAAAAGAGGGATGTTTTTGTGATCTTAAAAAAGCGTTCTGCTCTCTATTCTGCAGGTTTCAACTGTTTCCTTAACATAAATCTCATAAAAACACCTGAATTCATCCAAATCAGGCGTGTTTTATGAAAAGCAGCTACAACCAGGACAGAAATGAAGGTTTTATGTCTTTTTCAGAACACATTCTTAAGCGTTGGAAATTAAAAACATGTCCTCCTTGTGCTGCAAATCATTAAACGTTGGTGTATACATTTTCAGCAGTGGCTTCCTTTACGATAACAGAAATAGTTCGTCATCCAGCGTGCGTGCTTCAGACGGAGCTTGTAGAAGCATAAATTCTGGCGCCGGCTCCGGTCTCGCTGAGCCTTCTCGCTCCAACTTCTGAGGAGCTGTTTTTGCAAAGGAACAACACAGGAAGCAGAGGGGAAGGCGTGGAGAGGACGGATGGAGAAGCATGCCGAGCTCAGCCTAGAGTAAATCAGCAGGAGGCTGACAGCCATAAGGAACGCATACAGGAGGATGTAGCACCAACTGGACCGGGTCGAGGAGGGGAAACTGGGTCTTAGGAGCAACAGCGTGGCTTTCCTGTTGTGGGCAGGGACTAAAGGATTCCTGGGTTCAAACACCTTCCAGATCTGAATCCAGAAACAATGCTGAGCTGCCTATCCTAATCCCCATTAGATGTAATGTTGTAAATCCAAATGCGAGTGATTTTAAGGGATCTAACCTTGGGCTTTGTGGTGTTCTCCTCCTTAATGATGGTCCAGTGGTCTCCGTCCAGGCTGTGGCCCAGCTTAAACCTCTTCATATAAACGTTGCGGTCGCGGTGTTTTCCTCCCTGGATCACCACACCGCTCAGCATTTTGTCCTGGCCCAAATCCACCTGAAGGGAGCACATTTTATTAGGATTTAATGCTCTGGGATAATAATATATGAAAATAAACAATGACTCTAAGCTACTAACGCCTGAGGAAAGCCACTAAAACAGAATAAACGATATTGACTTTCTTTTATTGTTGACTATCTAAAGGAAAATCTTCATAAACTGTCTGTGCTGAACATCGGACCATTTGTTTGAAGCAGAAGCTCAGAGGCAGCCGAGCTACAAACCAACCTGTAACCACTCGTTTCTAAAGGGCTGCTTGGTCTGCTGCCCGGTCCACCCCGACCGGCCCGTCAATAACCGGACGTTCTCAGCCACCCAGCCCCGGTCTGCGAAGGACGAGGCGCTGATCTGAGCGTCGGAGATCTGCCCTGACACCATGCCTAACATCGACGAGCACGGGTAGTCTGGAAAAAAGACCAGAACGGATTAAATGGTCTGAGGTTTGGGAACTTTGAAGACCTGTAGGGTTTGATAAGGAACAAATCAGCAAAACCATCTGGATTTTTTGGTGATGTGTTTATTTGAATGAAGCTGTTAAAATAATCATCATTGATGATGTGTGAGTTTATTACACCTTAATATTAGCTGCCTGCTGCGTGTTTGAACTGATGTTTTCCTCTAATTCAGACAGTTCCTCTGTCCGGATATACAGTTCTAATCTTCATTCTGTACTTGGCAAAGATTTGGGAATGGAATGAGAGCGCTGTCCTTCAGCTATGAACAAAGTGTAATATTTTGATAAGGCTGGAGCCATGGATGTCTACTCATCTGCTAACGTGTATGATGTAATGATGTGACAGACTTCTCTGATCTGAGTAAGATTACAATTTCTATCAAAATATGTTGTCATGTCTCCTGGTTATTTACCGGTAATACATATAAGTAATGAAGTAAGAGAACCGGAGAGATAGAGCTTCAAGGTGTAAACACAGAGTCTATCTTTAACAACACAAAGGGATAAAGGTTTTCTGGGGTCCAGATAAACACTATCATCTAAATTTATGGGGGATCTATTTTTTTAATTGTTATTAGAAGTCTAATTGCATAGGTCAGTTATGAGCAGTCAATATGTTACCAGCAGCAGAGAACAAACCGATGAAAGTGAATCCAGTTTGGAGACAATTTCATTTTTAATAAACTTGATCTATACAAAAAACTTTTTAAAATCTTTAATTAACAAGACAACATTAAACATTTGTGTTTTAAAATAATTTTTTAGTTTAAATTCATTTTTGCTGAAAGTGAATCTTAGGGTGATTCATAATTCATACAAATCTTGATTATATGAAATGATTGTAAATATGTTTTCCTTTTCTATAAATATAAAAAATGTCAAAATTCCTTCAAAATGATTTAGTTAACTGTTAGGAATCCAGTTTGTGTGGGTTGTGTTTTTGTTTGTTTTCCCTTCAACACCAGGTGGCGCCTGGTTCTTGTTGGCCTCCTCACACACCTGCGGATGGTTGCCTCATTACCGGAGGACTCTTAAGCTGCTGACTGTCACTACCTCGACGCCAGAGTGTTTGCCAGTTTTGGGTAGTCTAGCCAAGCTGAGTTTTGCTGAGTCAAACTGAGTTTTTGTCACCTGAGTCTTAACCTTGTTGTTTTTTTGTCTTTGCCTCTCGGCAGGAAAGTCATCCTGCAAACTGGATGTTTTGGACCTTCTTCCCCTGGAAGGATTGTCTAAGGGTCAAACTGAGCTAAGGATTCAAACTGGTGGTTTGGATCTACTTTTCCTCAAGGATTGTTTGAGCTTCACACTGAGCAGGGGATTCGTCTCCACAAGAAACCATTCAAGTACCATAGGAAATCTAAGTGGCAGTCAGCTCCTCCGTTCCTCAAGGAAACACTTCAACCTGGGTAAACCCTGTCCGCCCTCCAACGAGCAAGTCTATTACTTGAAAACCCACACCGACTGGATTCAGAGAAAGACACCTTTTCTGGAAACGTGAGTCCTGTTGCCTTTATTCCCTTTTACAAGTCGAAACACAAATTTCCCTCTGAGCCTGAACTAACCGCAGGATCTTCCCCTTCAATTTTCAGTTCAGTTTCGCCAGTGTTCAGAGCAGCACTGGATCCTTCTCTACCAGTTCATAATAAACCTGTTGAACCTTCCCCTGGTCTCTCTGTTTGGTTTTCTACATGTGGGTCAGATCTTAGATTTAAAATCATGATATTAACCGGATATGACACAAACTAATGTTCATTAAGCTGATAAAAAAAAAAATGATCCTATCTTATTAAACTCCAGGAAATTAAAATCCAAGATTTGTTTCTGAATGAAACAATGTTAAAGCTGGATATAAAATAATAATTCTGTCAGGAATAACAATGAAAGGGAAACAATCCTATTCTTTTTTTATTTTTAAACTAAATGTTTGACAAATTATCCTTGTTTCTTATTCAACAGTTTAGATATTGAAGGAATTTGATCATTTCTGTTTAACATTAGCAATACTTGGTCAAGGTCATTTTAATAGTGACACAATTTTTACATTTAGGTTGAAAAATCTGGAGTAATGAAAGCAAATCACCTACTAAATAAGCCAAAATGAAAGAAGTGGATTTATTCTTTTGAAAGATTTTCTAATATGTAGCTTAGGCGGAAGTTCAACTGTAGAAACGGATTGCTCTCCTACATCCACCTGCGACACAGCCAATCAGCTTTGAACCACACCTCCATAAAAGCCAATTGGCATCCAAAGTTCATCTTAAAAGGCCTCCGATACGCGTCTTACTGCCTTCCCTTTCTCATCTTAACCGGGCCGGCAGAAGACCGCCATGTTCTGGTTCTGCCAGAGGTTTCTTCCTAATGGGGAGTTTTTCTCTCCACTGTCGCTCCATGCTTGCTCATCATGAACAGGTTCTCTCAACCTGTGTTATCCAACTGGACTTCCATCTTCCAGGTCCTTGAGTGAATTACAAACATCAGCTCACGCAGTCCACTGGATCTCCCCATAAAGCTCAGCTTACCGTCTCCCTAACCAGCAGTCTGAGCGCCAAAGACAAAGTAATTGTATCAATAAATTGCTCCTAATTGTCTTTTCTCTTCGTGTGAGTTTTTCAGATTGAACTTTGAGTCAAACAAGGCTGCAGAATGAGAGCTAAGAGTCGGGGTCTCAAGTCAGCTACATAAACTTCATGGAGCATTCCTCCCCTGAGTTTCTCATAGCACATCAGAGAGGGAGAATAATGTCAGAGGATGATTAATGAGCCAGAAACATCCTGCTCTGCTTTAGTGTAATGAATAACTGTGTCCTTCAGTGGGGAGGTTTTTACTCGCTGTGGAAGTAATAATTATTTAAAATCAACAGAAAATGGTTGGGGGTTGTAGCTCCACACATAATAGCCAAATTAGCTTGATACATGAGGTGAAAAAAATGGTATAAAGGGAAAACCAGAAGAAATAAGGCAATCATCAAAGGTGGACTTTTATAGTTATCAGAAATGTGAATAAATGAGAGAAGCATATCAGACGGCAAAGATAGACCAGATTCATCGGGTAAAGATTTAACGCGGCGATTACCTGATATTCTGCAGCCATAGACCTCAAAGCGCATGCAGATGCCCTGTTCCCAGGTATAAGGGCGAATACGGATGTATCGAGTCAAGGTGGGTTTGGGCAGGAAATCACGGACTTCGTCTGTAGGGTTGGAGTTCCCTCGAAAGATCTGAAATCATGTCAAAAGATGTAGTTTGTTGTTGTAGTTAATTGTTTTTTTAAATCATTATATGGTCTTTGAGAACAAATAAATACTCCACATTGACTATAACCAGTTTCTTTTCTCTCAGAAAAGTCTGAATGATGATGATTACTAGAAATGGAAAAATAGAAATGATCTTTAAAAGGTATTTTCAATCATATAGTTGTGTGTTTAGTTCAGTAGTTGTATTAAAAGCATCCTTCATGGTTCAGTCTGGGCAGTGTTTGTTGAAGCAGCAGCGCAGGACGCCAGGCGAGGAGCCTGGACAGCGCCATCAGGGGTTTGCTTTCTCTCTCAGCCCGGTTCCAGCCTGATTACTGTTAATAAAAGCTACTGTTAAAGACATAAAAACCAATTAAGCTCAACTAATAAAAGAAGGGTTTCTTGCATTACCCAGGTCTGGCTATATAACAAAAAATTTTACAGAAAAATTTTCTAGTTCTCAGACTTTTCGATCTAGCAAGAAAATTATCATTCTTTCTAAATATTCTTTTATCTATTTATTTATTTATTTTTACTTTTCTGTATTCTATTTTTTATTTTTCATGATTTTAGCAAACATTTTAATAAACAGTATTTTGGATTTTAAAACATTTAGTGGTAACCCCTCAAATAAATACTACTTCTACCTCATTTACTACTATAAGGCACTGAAGAACAACCATGGCGGAGATAAAGTGCTGCACATACTGTGTAAAAGAATAAAACTTGGCATATAAAACAACTAGAAAGCAGAAGAAAAAAACTGTTAAAAATTAATAAAACATAGTAAAAAAACAAAGGCATTTAAGTTCCCTATGTGTGCTTTATAAATATACATTGAGTGCAGGATGATCAAATCTGCCAAATCAGCAGCCAACGTCATTCCTGTATGATGTCACCATTTGGGAAACATGCCTGAAGAGACTTTATACAAACAAGAAAATATTTTGCTCTAAAATAAGGATATTTGATTTCCAACCACAACATTCAGATGTGAAATGCAACTTTTGTGTAAAGTTCTTTATTATGTATTGGTGTTAAATGGACACTGTTGCAGCATCTTTACCTTCTGTTTGGATCCTTCCTTCACTGTTATCCAGTCCTCTCCATTGGTGCTGAGGTCCACTTTGTAGGAACGGACAAAGTAGTGCTTATTGGTCTCCTTGGAAATTGCCCCCTGAGTCCCAATGTTTGTGACAAACCTGAGAAACCCCAAGTCCACCTGTAAATACACACAAAATCAACAAATGTTTTTTTCTAAATAGCATCAGAGGAGATACGCAGTAAATTAAACCTTATATGCTTCATATAACCTTCATTATCAAGGGGTTTCGTTGAGGGTTTGAGTTTCTCATTTGTGCAGTACTACTCGTATTTGGTGCGTAATACAAGGCTGAAATACATTTTCCAGGCCAAGGACCCCCAAAGTGATGGGGCGATGGAGCGGGGACCCCCTGATTATATATATTGTATAAATACTATGTATATTATGGAGGACCAACTCTGCATATTTAGAAATGAATAAATACAGGAATAAATAAATATAAACGGGCAGAAGGTGACCCTCTATAATATGCAGAAATGCATATAGAAATGTAAAAATTCCTTTGTATTTTTTTCCTTTTTATTTTTTTACCCTAAAAAATAAAAAGGAAAACAATACAAAGGAAGAATAAAAAAGACAAAAATATTATGTCTTGCACATAAATAAATACTTAAAAAAATAAGTAATAAATAAATAAAGTTGAAGATTATAATGGACGATAAATAAATAAGCTAATTATTACAAAGGTGAATAAATAAAGAAGCTAATTAAAAGAGATATATACATTTATGTCTCCCTGTATAATTTAATTTCTATCCACATTTATTTGGGGGCAATTAATTGTATGCTTATTTATTTATTGAGCATTTATTTATTTCTGTATTTATTTTCAAATATGGCAGAGTTGTTCCTCCATATATTACAGATGGAGTAATGTAACAAAGGTAATTTTGCCCTGGGATTATTAAAGTATTTCTGATTCTGATTCCTGGTTGATGGGACAGGTGTTGTGAATGAAACGGTGCCCAGCTTGAAAGAGCTCCTGTGTGTCACTGAATGAGTGCATTGGTGACTGAAAGACATTTTCTGCCTCCATTTATCTGTTTACTACAGTTGAATTCATGTTAATGTGGATTTAAAGACATTTCAATTAGTGGAAAAAAACTGCAGGGGGGAATATAAAAAAAAAAAAAAAGTCTACTAAACTAAAACCTTCACAACCCCCATGCAGTACTTCTGTGGTTGCGGACCCCCTGTTGAAGATCTCTGGTCTAGATGGTGCTGCTAGCACAGCTATTAAAATAGCAGTTAGCTTCAGGTAAAAATATATTATAAAAACACTGTTAAATCAATAAAAACATTTAAAATACGCAAATGCAGCATCAATAAACTGGTATAGCAATGTTTAGCATATAGCTGTTCAAGTTAGCTTACCAAACCTAGCATGCTAGCAGCTAGGAGGTAGCTCGGGTTAACATAAAGCAGAATAAAGAAATAAAACTTGATTAAACAATTATTAAAATGAGATTCAGGACAGGCAGGAGCTTTGGGATAAAAGGATAACGCAATTGTTGTTCACAGATAATATGGAGGTTTATCAACTGGGCCATGGTGAACTTTAAAATTTACTGAAACAGCTAGCTAAGAATATAAGAGGACAAAGGAGGAAATAGTTTTGATCCTTTGTAATAAAGAAAATTGAACTGTAATTTATGTGACTGTTAAAGAATTAGAAGCTAAAACGTTGCTAAATAAAGGGTGAAATTTATCATCTCACTTATTTTGTTAGGGTTTAGTTTGTTGGACTTAGCAATGTTAGGTTCTCAGCCCTTTTTAATGCTTCCTTCAGCTTGGGGCATAATGTATACTTTTCAGATCTTTAAGCATCATGTCATCAAAAAGGTGACATTTAAATCAGTTTATGATAATATGATTATGGTGGTCTAATATGGAAGCTGAAACGTGACTTAACTGCCTTAAAAAATAGTTAATTGCAGAGCTTAAATGTATTAAGAAGGAGGAAAATCTGTATTTAATAAAATGAGAATTCATCTCTGTATATATTCTGGTCATCTTTGATAATAAAATGAGTGTGTGGTGATATAGAAACATTCATGTCTAACAGAAAGAAAAAGTGAGCTCTTATACTTCAAGCCTAAAATCAGCCTAATAAGTCAGGAATGTTCTTCCATTTTACAGAGAGAGGGCTTTTTTAGTTTAAGTTAGGATATAAATGGCAAGTAAAGTCCCCCTTTAAGACATATCACAGGACTCTTCAGACAGTCTTAAAATAGAAAAGAAATTCAATTGTATCTAATTTGATTTTGTTCTACTGCAAGTCGGTTAAAGGAAAACACATTCATATGGAATTACTTTCAGATTTATACTAAAAATCTGTTTTTCTTTAACTACAAAGTTCTTACATATTCAAAGAAAGTCTTTATCTATAAGTTAATTTGCAGTATCACATTCCTTGGAAACAGTTTTCTTTTAATTATCATGAAATTGTGATCAGAGGGCTAAAAGTCTGATAGAAAATACATACTGGATGCTGTCTAATCTGAACAGAGGGCTGTTCAAACTACTTTCCCTGAAAGCAGCAGTGAAATGACTAATAAGCTGATGGTTATCATCAAAGAGTAGCAGAGATTACAAAAAGCCTGACAGTTCTTGCAGTGTAAAAAATTTATAGTTGTTATCTAAACTGGAAAATACTGGAAGTTGTTCAGCAACTGCACACATGCAGGCGTCATAACTTCTCCTGCAAGAAGGCATGAAACCAGTCTAACCATGTAATCAATGAGGCTATTCTCCATCTGACCTCCATTTCAATCCTGTTTGTTGAGTTTAGGCTTTATGAATTTGAGACCAGAATAAGCTCATTGGTTGAGTGTGTGGGATGTATGCAGTATGCACTGTGTAATTACACGACCGTGGAGGCGCTGCTTTACATGGGAAGGCCCCACAGGGCGGGTGTTGACTTCTTCTGCCGATGCTTTTTCAGGAAAGGAGCAGGAAATAGTGCGCTGCAAGTCTCTGTGGGATCTTTGTCTGACAAGGAGACCCCTGGGAAATCATGTTGCGTGGGATTGCTCTCTGCCGCTCCCACGTCTGTTTTCATCTAAGTTCCCATGAGGCGCATCACTTCTTAGCACTAAGCCTATATGAAAAGGTCGCATGTAGTAAATTTAAATCTAAACACACTGTTTAAGCTCTGATGTTTATTAAAGTCTGAAAAAATGATGCCTCTAACTTAAATCTTGCTTTATTTCGAAGTGCTAGACTGTAAGTAACAGTTTGTAACTCAGCTCTTTCCTAAAAAGACGACCAGAGTTAAGGGAAATAATGACTTTTTGTGGAACTATAGCATTTTTGCACAACAATAAAGTTATAGGACGGTTCATATTAATGCTCGGAGCATTCTAAGACCATTGAAGCCCATAAAGTTTGATCAACAAGTTTCCAGAGCTTTTTACTGCTGACAAATTCAGAATGGCTGTTCAATGTTGGACTACTTTCGTTCTTATCCTACAGAAAGTGCTGCAGTTCCAATTATGAAGAAAATCTAAAGAAAAATGGTATTACTCCAGTACTAAATTCTCTTATTTGGCTGCCTGTTAAATAGAAGAATATTAACTGAAATTCTCCTTAATTTGTATAAAGCCCTTAACCGCCCAGCCTCAGCAAATGTCAGAGATTTGGTTATTCTGTATGTTTCTACTTGAAAACTTTGCTTGTCAGGGTTTCCAAAAAGTAAAATGCGAGGCAGATCTATTTAATAGTTCCTAGTTTCTGTCAAAGAAGTCAACACGTGTTAAAACTCTACTTGAAATTTAGATCTCTTCATGTTACTTTCTACAGCTAAGTACCAGTTATTACCACCATTAACTTTTTGTTCACTCTAAAGATGATGCATTTGGCCCCGACATACAGTTTTTAACTTACGGTAGTCTCTTCTGGAGGAAGCTACTGAAGAGGCTTTACATCCCAGATATTTCTGCTCCTCACTTGGCAGTGAACTGTTTGGTTGTGTTTCCTTCACAAAGCCACTAAAGCAGTTTTTAAAATTTTGTTGTGTTTAGGAAATGTGCCAAAATATGACAGCATAGTTTGGTAAAAGTCGTAGGGAAGCGGCTGCTCCAACCGTTGCATTTCCGAATTCTCCCGAGTGGTGCATGACTTTACACGAGTGAATAAAGTGATTGTGATTGGTCGATTATCAAGAGGGTGGTATTGTTGTGCTGGAAGGTTCGCAAGCAAGTTTGATTGTGGCCGGTTTGTCGGAAGCATCTTGCTAACCAGTTAGCAACTTAGTGCTAGTAGGTTCCCAATGGGAAATTCCATTGGGACCAAGTAGCACTAAATTGGTAACTTAGAAACGACACTGTCAAGGAACGCTATGGACAGAGGAAACATGCAAGAGGAGGAGAGTTTTGTGTCGGAGGTCGTGGATGAGTCTCCTCCGTCATACATTTTTTATTTAGAGGAAGAAAGTGGGGATCAAGATGTTGTGGAAGAGGATGCCAGGGCGGCAGAAGCTTGGTTTGGTATAGAAGGCTTCCAGCCGTACATGTTTGAGCCCTTGCCTCGCAACGCTGCCAGTTCTGTTAGCTCTACGCCTGCTGAAGACACAGACGTCCATCCCCGTGAACACTGGGACTCCAGTGTAAATTAAATAAGGATTCTTATTTCGACCGTTGCGTATATTAGCTGCGACATATGAATCAAGATGCTATGACCAAAAAAAATTTGATTAACAGATGATTGTTGATATATGATTGGCCGAATTTATGTGTTCAAGCTGACTCATAACAAACTGGCCTGCATAAGATAACGAAAAACAAAGATTTTAAGACAGGATTTTTTTTTAAATAGGAATTTTCTACATTTTGGGACAATATAGTCTGATAAAGAGTACATTTTATATACATGTTAAAGCCAGAATGATTTGACATTCAAATATGACTTTTCTACGATTTTAAGAGTTTCTTTCATTTCAAGGAAATCTTACAAATTATTCTAGATCTTTAGGAGGAAAGATGAATCAGCAAATCAGTAGTCTCATGCCTTCAGCATGTTAAATCTGTGTTTAAAAGTGATAACCTTTGCAACCTTTGTAACTTTATTCATATTATTTCCCTGTTCCTTGAATTTGACAATGTATCTCACTCAGACAA